CTCCTTGCGGTAAAGCAAGCTTGGTCTGGCATGTGGCCCTGCCACGTATTCTAGACTCTGCTGAGGGGGCATCCAGCACTGGTGTAGTGGCGTGAAGAGTAGTATAACATTATTCGTATAGTAGAGGACAATGTACATGGGTTTCAAAATATACTGCTGAATAAAAACGTCTTGCGCCTCTCTTCAGCGATGGCAGCGCCGCCAAGGTGCCGCGGCACATTTCTGCGGATGAGAGACACAGACAGCGCGCACACCGACCAAAAGAGTGGAGGTAGAGTACCTTTAGGTTCAACTAGCCTTGTAACGTCGCCATAACGTGCTAGGAGATGTCTGGTATGCACAACTTCGATCAGCTAACCTCTCTCTCTTTGTCTCTCTGGACAGCTTTCAGCCCGAGCTGGAACCTTTGTCTCCCCGTCATCTTCGTCTTGATCTACATACCTTGTCGATAACACGTAGATCACGTCTGCTGTAGACGAAGAGCTCTGAGGAGATCCAATACACGCTGTCAGCTATTTGACATGGCTGACACCGTTTACGGTATAGGATGAGCTCTGGGATCGACGCTCTCTCAATGGAAGGATAGCAGGATATCTCCACAAGGATCTACCACTATATGGTGATCTCTACCTCTTTGGTTGATCACCAGGACGAGCAAGCACATTGCAGCCATCCACGCGAGCATAACGGCTTGGGTGAGCTTTTAAAAAGTATATTCGTTAGCGCATGTCACGATTGAATGATTGAAGACCAAGTGAACTCGAATCTAGATTGTCGATCGCCATTCTCTTGCGCCTACATGCCATAGAGTGACGAAGGATTCAAACAAAGAGTGTGTCTGGACCACGACCTCCCTTTTAATACATCTAGAAAGGCAATCTCGAGAGCTTTTCAAGTGTCGTCTTCTCAAATGACGATCATCTCTGAGATAGTCGATCGATTCGCTAATCAGATTGTCGTAGAGCCTGGCAGACAGCTTTTGCCAGGGTGGATTTTTTGGTACTGGGCGAACTCAGCCAAAGGGTAAAAGAACTGATCTTGATCCCAGAAATGCCCAGAAGACCAAAGGTGGACCAAAACCATGATCCCTTTCGAGAATAGAGTCGTGCCCCACGACTTTGTCGGTCAGACGATCCAGCAAAAAGGGTTTCAACGATCAAATTTAACACCCGGCGTGTGGCGTCCTTTTTTTTTTTTTTACGAAATTTGGAGGGTGGAAAGCGAGAGTGTGGGCAAGGGGAAATGCCGCGTAGCGGGCCATCAGGTACTAGACCAGAACCGAGTCTGATCATTCTGTGGGCCGGTCTCAATTCTTTTTCCCGCAAATGTACCCTTTCGCTTCACATTATTGAATCCGGAAGCCGAATAAACCAGAGTGGAAGGCCATATGCGCAGGTTCTTTTTGATCGTTGTTAAAAAATGTTAATTTTCCTTTATCCCTTGATTGGCTCTTCTTGTCGATAACCGGAAGGGAACAACGCCTCGAAATTAGCAGCTCGACGATCCAATCACCCCAGAGAGGAAGGCTAGGCTAATCGTTTGTCATGCCCATCTCTTGGAACATGTGGTTCTTGTTCCCTCCACTGTCAGCCCGTACCGCAGAGGCAGGAGGCAGCCGAAGAAAGCACGGAAAGAACCAATAAACCGTGATCGTACACGCGGGGCGAGTGACGACTCAGAATCCCAGTCCCCGGTGGCTTGGGTCTCTGTCCTACTTTTTAGACCATTGACCATCTTCCTGTGGCCAGTACCTTGGACTGAAAGTGACCGGCGCCAGACAGCAGATATGAGATTGGATCGGGAAAGATGCAAAATGACAGCTCGCAGCAATATCATCGCGATTCCTGTACGGTACGGATAGACCTCAGATAGGACCCAAACAGCAGCCGAACAGTGGTGTCATTGTGGTTTTTCATCACTCGCTTGCTATTATCCATCCAATACGAACAATAAAGAAGAAATAAAGAATGCTTGGTTTCTGGTTGTTTGTAGGGCGATACTACTGAGTTGAGTCCTTTGGCGAGATCCTATGGCAGCCGTGGGCTCCACCTCGAATACAGCCTTGCATGACGGATTCAGAGACCAGTGGGCATGTGCACTAGTCGAGGCAGCGGATCTAACTCGTATATTTTCGCAGAAATTTCCTCGATAAAAGTGACGGACAATCCAGCCTAGGAGACACCCGTCCATTGTCATACAGTTTTACCCACCGCGAGCAAGCGGTCAGCTCCGAGCAGAATTGAACCATTCAGCAATCCTACGCCCGGCTCTCTGCCTCGAGATGTGAAACATGGCAAACGTATAGCCCAGGATATGGCCGGTAGAGTCACCTTGGCATGAAACAAGTCTGGTAGAAT